TGTGTATGTGTGTGTATATATATATATATATATATATATATATATATATGAAAAAAGCTAACAATATATAGGCTGCTACAATGAATAGTAACATAAGTGGAATAGAAGCCGTCAGATTTTCATTATGTGACTCAAAATACATATCACTATGTGAATTTTAATATTTTTTCGATCACAATGAAATTTTAGACGTGTGTACTAAAAAATAAAGTGTATAATTAAAAAGTATTTTTCACAATATAAAATAACCAAAATACCCCTAAAAAATTATGAGGCTAATTTGGTCATTTTAAATTATTGAAAATAATGTTTTTGTATTTTTATATGGTGCGCAATAGTGTTAAGTATATATATCCAAAATTTAATCTTAATCAGATTTATAAAAAAAAATTAAAATACATATGATGATATACATTATAAACCATATGATGAAAATATAACGGTTGGGATTCTATATATATTTTTATTTATTATATATGCCAGTTATTGTAAAGTTTAATATATATATATATATATATATAACCAAGGGAATAAAGGACATAGCATTGTATCAAAATACTAGAACACTCGTGGCCATTACTACGACACTGTATCAAAGAAGTAGACACTCGTGGAGGGAGCAAACTTTCAAACTTCAGAATAATGACCCAAATTCAATTTTGGTGTTAGAAACCAATGATCTTGAATAGGCAGCGTGATCATTCATCCACAGTTCATGTTGGATAATTGTATTAGCAATTTAGATCGGGCTTAAATCGGTCCTAGTCCACAAAATATTAGAAATGGATGGAATAAAAGTAAAAGTAAAATTAAAATAAGGGTTTATGGGGTGAGGACTACGAGGAACCTAAGAAATACCTGATAAGCATAAAAATAAATAAATGAAAGGATTGGGGAACCAAGCTAGGACCCATACCATCCCATAACTAGTTCTGCAATCCTAATAAAAAATCATGAGATTTTAAGATTCTTCAATGAACTTTGGAGTCAAAACTTAAAATTCACCCTTAGAATGTGAAGTTTACACTAATGACTTTAGCCGAAATTCGATTGTAATCATGTATTGCAGCAAGTGTAGGAAAAATCAAGCGGTTCAAATTCTAACTGCCCGGTTAGATCAAAACTGGCAGCTGGTCGGTTCTGATTTCAGCCGATTTTGGTGAACCGGCTAGATATTTTAAAAAAATTCAAAAAAATTATATAAAATCCCGAAAGGTAAGGATTTTTTTTGGTTTTCATCATTTTGGTAAAGATTGGAAATTGTTTAGGCCATTAATACTTGTTTATACAATTTTTTTTATCTTTTTGAAAAATTTCAAAAATACTCTCGAGTACAAATTGATTTTTAAAAATTGATTTTTTTTCATTTAATTTTCAACTTTATTTGGATGTGTTTAATTTAATCATACTTTAGATATATTTTTCAGACTTTATTAGATTTTTTTATATTTTATTTTAATTTTTTAATATTTTTTTGACGGCCCAAGACTTGCCCAATTAAGGTGGTTGAAGTGGCAGATTTACCGATTAGGCGGTTTGATATAACTGTTATCCGGTTTGAGCACAACAAAATTGGGTTGAGACGTCGGGAAAACTTGGGTCGAAATTTTGGCGAAATATGGGTTATGGAATAAAAAGGAGGCGTGGTTTGGTAAAATACATATTAGCCGGGAAATTTAAACTTTTGAGTAACACGGCGGGTGGGTTAGCGTCCTGCCATTGAATGCAGCAGTGTTTTCAATGAGAGTTCGTTGGGGTGGTTGCATCTCCCTCTCTCTTCACCCCTATTAAATCCCTCTCACCCCCTTCGCCATATTCCCCAATTTACTTTCTTTCTCTCTCTCTCTCTCTCTCTATCTCTTCACTGATTTTTCCATACCATTTCTGTGTCCTTTCCTTTCCAGGCCAGCCCTCTTTCCTTGAGGTCTCCAAAGCTCAGGCCCCCAAAACAGGGTAACAGGTCCAGTTTTCTCTCTCTAAATTCTAGTCTGTATCCCGGTTTATTTGCAAAATCTTTGTGGGCTCTTTTCAGATGCCTTTATTTGGTGGTAGTCGAATCTATCTGCAATTTTTTTTGCTATTCATATGAAGTTTTTGTTGGGGTTTGCTAGAGAATCTAAACCAGAACTGGAAATCTTCATCTGGTTTCTTGATCCAGATATGGCTTTCATTTATTGCCTCAAAAGATGTTTCTGTATCTTACTTAATTCCTGAGTTTTTTCTATCTATCTATCTATGCCCACTACCTCTAAACATCTGCTTATAAATACTTTGATCCTGCCCATTCTCTTCCTCTCTCTACATTTCTGTAGATCGAAAAGTTCCTCGCCTCTCTCCACCTGTTCCTCGAAAACTCACCAACAACAATTTCTCACTTCCTTATACAAATCTGATCCAGTTATTGCAGCAACGTGAATTACTAAAATACTCTCATCCCTTTGTGCCAAATTACCTAAACACACTTAATTTGAGACTCCCGCTGCTGCAGATCTCGGGCCAGATTAGTGAGATAACCCTTGTCCCGGACCTTGGGTCAATTCATTCGGAATTCCGACTGAGGCAAATTTACCAAAATACCCATAGAGATTCTGCAAAGAGAGATGGGTGACCAAAACCCCTCACAAGCAGTCCCTGCACCCATGGAGGCTTTCGCCCTGAAGAACAAGCTCCCGGACTTCCTCGCCTCCGTGAGCCTTCGACATGTGAAGCTCGGCTACCACTACCTCGTCTCGAATGCCCTCTACCTCCTCGCCGTCCCCCTCTCCTGCATTGCCCTCGCCAGCCTCTCTGTCACTGACCTTGGCCTCCTATGGTCTGTCCTCCGATACAATTTCCTCTGCGTTGCCCTTTTCTCAGCCCTCCTCATTTTCTTCTCCGTCCTCTACTTCATGACCCGCCCGCGACCGGTCTACCTCCTCGACTTTGCGTGCCACAAGCCATCAGATGCCAGGATTTGCAGCAGAGAGATATTCATGTCGAGGTCTCGACTCACAGGAACCTTCACTGATGAGAACCTCGCATTCCAACAAAAAATCCTCGAGCGCTCGGGTCTTAGTCAGAGCACCTACCTTCCCTCGGCAGTGTTGGCGGTGCCACCGAATCCTTGTATGGCAGAGGCTCGGCAGGAGGCAGAGGTCGTAATGTTTGGTGCCCTCGACCAACTCTTCCTGAAAACTAATATCCATCCCAAGGACATTGGGATCCTCGTTGTGAATTGCAGTCTCTTCAATCCAACCCCTTCACTGTCGTCGATGATCGTGAACAAATACCGTCTCCGGGGGGATATTGTTAATTACAACCTTAGCGGGATGGGGTGCAGCTCTGGGTTGATATCCATCGATCTTGCGCACCGGCTCTTACAGGTCAGGCCAAGCACATATGCTCTGGTGGTCTCCACAGAGAACATCACTCTCAACTGGTATTTCGGGAACGACAGGTCGATGCTCGTCTCCAATTGCCTGTTCAGGATGGGGGGATCAGCTGCACTGTTGTCTAACCGGCGCTCAGACCGCTGGCGGGCCAAGTACGAGCTCCTCCACACCGTGCGCACTCACCGGGGGGCTGACAACCGGTGTTTTGGGTGTGTGTACCAGGAGGAGGACTCTTGTGGGAAGATAGGGGTATCCTTGTCAAAAGACCTGATGGCAGTGGCAGGAGAGGCCTTAAAAACCAACATAACAACCTTAGGGCCACTAGTGTTACCTATGTCTGAGCAATTGCTATTTTTTGTGACCTTAGTTGCTAGAAAAGTGTTCAAGATGAAGATTAAGCCTTATATACCTGATTTCAAGCTGGCTTTTGAGCATTTTTGCATCCATGCTGGGGGGAGAGCCGTTCTGGATGAGTTAGAGAAGAATCTGGATTTATCGGAGTGGTATATGGAGCCATCAAGGATGACTCTATATAGATTTGGGAACACATCTAGTAGTTCACTGTGGTATGAGTTTGCTTACACTGAGGCTAAAGGGAGGGTCAAGAAAGGGGATAGAGTGTGGCAAATCGCGTTCGGATCCGGGTTCAAATGCAACAGTGCAGTGTGGCGGGCGTTGAGGACTGTCAATCCGGTGGCGGAGAAGAATGTGTGGACGGATGAGATCGATTCGTTCCCTGTGCCTGTGCCTAAGGTTTCTAGTGTGGTGGATTCCAAGTCTTGATCAACATCTCTCTCTTTTTCTCTTCTTTGCCATCTCTCTCACGCTCTCCCTCTCCCTCTAA